AGGGGGCATGTGGGAGGCAGCTCATTGATGTTTCTCTATCCAAAACATACCCTATACTTTCCAACCTTCTTGACTGTTTAGTGTTCTTCTCTCCACCTAGATTACCATTCCCCATCTCTGCCTGACATAATTTTTGCCATCCTTTAAAGGCTACTTGAATGGTGTCTCTTCCATAAAGTTTAGTAGTTGAAAAGGTAGTCAGCATGCAACAGACTTAGTTTAAAATCCTGGCTCTGTCCTTTACCTGCCATGTGAAAATTTATCTAGTCTCTGTAAGCCTCATTTTCTTCATCTGTAAAAGAAGACTAACATCCCCTTTTACAAATGGGTGGACCATTATTCCACTTGTTGAAAGTATTTCTAGCCCAGCCAGTGTTGCTCAGTGGATTGAGCATGGTCCCATGGACTGAGAGGTCCCAGTTCAGTTCCCCCACACGGCACATGCCCCGGTTTCCGCTCCATCCCCAGTAGGGGTAGTGCAGGAGGCAGCTGATGGATATTTCTCTCTCACATCGATGTTTCTCTCCCTCTCTTTCTTCCTCACTCTTTCCCTCCTGCTCTATCTGAAAATAAATGGAAAAATATTCTCGAGTGAGGATTAGAAAAAAAAGAAAAGCCCCAAGTCTTTTTTTCCCCTTGCCATTCTCCTCTGGCTACTGATCTTTTTCTTTTCTGTTAGTCAAACTTCTTGAAAGAATTGTCTTCACATGCTGTGTCCACTTCATTTCTGTCTCTTCAACTCAGTAAGATTTACATTAAGATCTTCAATGCCTTCGTTGCAAAGATTTCAGTATCAGAATTATATCACATAGACATATATATATGTGAAAAAGCAGGATACAAAATGGTTTTCCCCAAATAAACTCAACTATGTAAAGACTATTCATGCAGAGAAAAAAACTGATGGGAAACACATGAACATTTCAAGTTCCTTCTGGGTAGTTAAATGGTGAGTTTTCTTTAAAACGTCCACAATTTAAAAAACAAGAATAATTTACTTTGACTTTAGACCACATTGCAATGTAAATTAGAAATTATCAACTTAACCTTTTCTAAAAGGAGGCAGAAAACTAGAGGAGATAATAAGTAGCTACTGGGCCGCATTTCCTTTGGCTGCGAGGCTCAGAGAAGAACAAGAGGGTGTGACCCAGCCCCCCAGGCCCCACGCTCCCGCGGGATACGACTGAACCTCCGATTAGGACGATCTCCCCTTAAAAAAGGCCCTCATACCCTCTTGTTCATCCCAAATAACCTCTGAGCATCTCCGCCTATCCTGCCAACCGCGCCAAACCTCGCATAACCGTCAATCGTTTCCGGTTGCCCTGGTAACAGCTAGCGGAAGGGGAGGGGTCCAACACAGTTTTCACAACTCTTCCCAGAATGCTGCGCATCTTTTCTCACTCACTTCCGGTTCCGAGGGCTGACTTCTCCCGGAAGTAGATGCGTGTCATCCCTACCTTTTGAATTTACCAGGTGAGTGTGACGTATTACGGCGGGGCGGGGCGGGGCGGGGCGGGGCGGGGCGGAGGGGGGGGAGCGCGGGGTGTGTTTGGTTCTTTCGCAACTTTCAAAATAACAGGAAAGCTGAGGGAACGCTATAATCTCACCGAATCTTTGTTGGACTCGATAAATGGATTAGATGTTAGTTATTAAAAAGCTGAAAGGCGTAAAGAACTTTAAAATTGCTTGCAATGTCATTTGTTGCTGTGATATATTTAAAGAACTTGAACAACTTCCTATAAAAGAGCAGTTCGTTTTGCATTATAAAATGAGGGCAAGCACGAAGAACAGTACACAGAAAACGTATCCATCAGAAACAACCACGCTGAACACTTTGAAGCAGTCTTCCAGACCTTTCTACTCATATAATAAAATTTCAAAACAGAATCACGTTGTTTTATAACTTGAAAAAACTTTTATGAACACGTTTGAGAAAAGACATTTCAACAACATGGCTGCATGTATTTCATTGTCCCTCTTGTACATTTAAACTTTATCCTTTTTGCTTTTAATTAGTGCTGCAATAAAAATCCTTAGAGCTAAATCTTTGCCCATGCTCTCATTTCTTTGTGGTAATTATATTTCTCTTCTAACTTAATCATTTGGATTTGCATTTCCCTATCTTTCCCCTAATGCCTTCCCATTCTACTCCTATGCCTTTATACTATAATTGGAGAAGTTACCCACATGGCATTCCAAAGCCTACTAAATTTTTAAACTTTAATTTTTCTGATTATAAAGGTAATGCATGCTTATTGTAGAACATTGGGAAAATTCAGCATGTAATAAAAATATCCCAAGACCTAGACAACTATTGATTATATTTAGGCATAATTTTATTCTAGGTTTCTCTGTACCCTTCAGAATGAATATTGAGCCCAGGCTGATATAGCTTAGTTGGTTGGAGCATCATTGGGTACACTAAAAGGTCATGGGTTCTTTTCCCAATCAGGGCACATGCCCAGATTGTGGGTTCAATTACTGGTCTGGTCGGGGTGTGTACAGGAGGCAACTGATGGATGTTGCTCTCTCACATCGATGTTTCTCTCTCTCTTCCTCTTGATAAAATCAATGAAAAAAAAAAAAATCAAACCACATCCTCAGGTGAGGATTAAACATGCCCCCTTCCCTCCCAGCCAGAATGAGTATTGAAAATATGTTTGCTAATTTGGTAGAGAAAAAGGCATCTTTTAAAATTAAAAGATAAGCATTTCTTTGCTTATTCATGTAGTTGAATAATATTTCAAATGTTTATAGACGATGGTCCATTTCAGGTCCCATTTTCTCTCTCTAGCCTCCCTTGAGTTTTCCATACAAAACACACTAACTTGCAATAGTCTAGTTTTGCATATATGTGTGTTTCATTCCCTAACTAGATTGGAAACTGGTTGTGTGGTCCGGATAAATTACTCAATTTTACCAAGCCCACTTTCCTTATCAGCAAAATAGTGACAGTAATACTTATCTTGCAGGGTTGTAGTGGGAATTAGAAATAATGTATTCAAGGTGAGCTCAATATAAAGTGGCTTTTTTTCCTTATAGCTTTAGCATTCTGTGTACATAGGAAGTGTTCATATTTTCATAATATTTTAAATAAATGAATAATCCTAGCATCCCATCCAATTTATTTTATTATTAAAATTTTTTTTTCCTTTACTGATTTTAGAGAGAGAGAAACATCGATGAAAGAGACCATCTATTGGCTGCCTCCTGCATGCCCCCCACTGGGGATTGGGTCCACAGCCTGGGCATGTGTCCTGACCAGGTATCAAACCCGTGACCTCTTGGTGCATGGGTCGACACCCAACCACTGAACCACACTGTCCAGACAACATCCCATCCGATTTAGATATTTATTAAGCATCTGTGACACATAAGGCACTATTTATAATCCTTAAGGTCTTTTGAGCCTTTATTATTTAGATACATTTCTTACATAAACCATATTGTTGTAGCTCACTGTCCTTAGAATCCAACTTGTCTTTAAGCTGCCCTAATTAACAACCTCAGAGACAGCAAGATGAACATTGGGGAATGTTATAGAGGGCTTTAGCCCCATAAAAATTAACCAGAGTTTGACCTTCACTGGGAATTTGAAAAGCAACATCCTTCAGGAAAAGGGAGGACAGAAATGGCCCCAAGGCCAGAGTGTCCTGCATGCTCTGTAAAGAAACTGATAGGGAGAAACTGAAGCCCCCTTTACCCCATAAAACTGTAACTGTTAAACATGCGTGTATTGCACCTGACTGACCGCTGATATCCGTCTCGAATTTGTTAGTTTTTAAAACTTGGATAATGGAATGAATAGCAGGATAGATGTATGCTGACCCAGTTCACCCAGTTCCCTTTCGCCTCAGCTCCCTCCCACCTCCGTTCCCTCCTGCTTATTGCTAACTGCCTCCGCTTCTGTACAAACAGCTTGCTTGCTCTGCTAAACTCTTGAATGACCCCTGCCCTATATAAGCAACCCTCCCCCTGAGCTCGGGGCTGCAGTTCTCCTCTGTGTAGGTTGGCTGCAGTCCCTGCGCAGGTAATAAAACATCCCCCAAAACTGAAAAATTGAGTCTGAGTGTGGTCGGTCTCCTGGGTTACAACACATATGATCATCTTCACCCTCAGCAATTCTCTTATTATTGTTTCTGCCACTATACCTGACTTATAGTAGGTGCTGAATAAATGTGTGAGCTGAACTGAGTAATTTAGTGTGAAAAGAGAAATTCAATTAAGTCAAAACTCGACAGGCTGTGATGAAAGCCATAACAGGTGCAAAATACTTTGTACATTGGAAGATGAGAGATTGATTTTGATTATGGTTTCTGGGAATGCTCTGTGGAGCTGGATGAGGACCTAGGTAAGGACTGAGGAAAGGGGCTTAGAGATCGAAGTATCAGTTAGGGCTTGGAGGTAGACATAAAGAGGTTGTGTTTTATTATTAGAGTTATTTGGTGTGGCAAGATAGCAGAATGGGTGAATAAGCCTAGATGAGGCAGAAAAAAATATTTGGGTCCTACAGTTTGAGCATTTTGATGTGATCAGTCGTTATAATTGTAGCTTTCAAACGTTTCTGAAAAAACACTCCTTTCAATATGGCTTGGTGCGTCAGGGGAGAGGTGGGACAAAGACTGCAATAGCTTGCTGGTGCAAACGAGAGGGAGTGGGAAGAGGGCAGAGGGCAGAAACCTTCAGAAGGAGGTGTCCACGAGGAGGCGGGGCTGCAGGACGTCGCGTCAGGCACCGGCAACAGCCCGGAGGGGCAGCTGCGAAGACCGCCGGAAGCCGGGTACAACCTGCAAGAGCAGACGCCCACTCCAGCTCCTCCGCCCGCACGCACCCCACAGCCCCACCTAGAGCTCCTCGCTCCGCCCCCGCGCCTTTCACCCCGCCCAGAACTTCTCGGTCCGCCCCGCCCCGCCCCGCGCCTTTCGTCCCGCCCAGCGGCCCTCGCGGGCAGGGGATCCCCTCGGCCCAACCTTTTTGGCCACGCCCTGCGACCTCCCCGGCCCAGCGTCAGGTCGGCCACGCGGACCAAGGGCCTGGGCGGTTGATTGGTGCGGGTGGTTACCTCTCCTAGTCTCAGCCCGCCGCCGGAGGCGGGAGGGAGGGCCCCGCGGCGTGCGGATGGCATGGCAGGCGCTGCGGACGGGCGCGGGGCGGGAGAGCAGCTGCGGCAGCCTCCTGTGGCTTGCCAAGCCTTCCCCGAGCGGCCGGCTCCGGGGAAGCCCGAGCAGGGGTTCCTCTCCAGCTTCTTCTCCAGCCACCAGAAGTGCCAGCTCATGCTCCTGAAGACTCTGCAGACAAGTAGGAGCTGACCCGGAGGCTGGGGGTCGGCGGGTGGCGACTGTCCGGAGGGCAGGAAAGGGCCTGCGTCCGGGTGCAGGCCCAGGTGCGGCGGGGCCGGGTTTAGGCCCCTCAGCGCGTCATGGGAGTGGGAGTGGGGGTCTGGGCCTCAGCGTCCTTATCAAAGGAGGCACTGTGCCTGCCTGTGGAATGAACGGGTTGTCGGGTTAGGAGTTTGCCCTGTTTTGTCACCCTCACTGGTCTGACTGACAGTCTGATTTATGTAAGTTATGCAGCAATATGGGAACTTTAGAGTCTGGGTGAAGCAGAGTTTTGAAGAGCCACGTTAATTAAGGCATACTTACTGCTGGCAGTGCAAAAAAACTATAGTTTTACAAACCCGCCCTTCGTTGGAAGGGATCCTTAGCCTTCATTCATGGATGGGCTTCAGCGTGTAGAAACCCCTGAAATGGACTGCGAAATCGTGTGTGCATGCACCTAAGTGCATTTTCGGGAGAGAGTGTTTATAGCTTCATCATATTCTCTAGAGGCCCACGACCCCCAAACGGTGAAGAGCTACCGCTGTGCGTTCATTAAGGACACAAAACCTGCCGACCAATTTCTCTCTTCCCAGTGTCGTTGCACTAGAGATTTCTTATATTTATTTTTACATTTACATAGACTTCTTAAGTTTACTTCAACTCATTTAGAAGTCAAAGTCTTAAATGTTCTTTTCCCAAAGCAAGGTTACTGTTTCATAACTGGCCAGTCACAGTTCTAAAATCAACCACCTGGCCCTGGCTGGTAGCTCAGTTGGTTAGAGTGTCATCCCCATAGCCAAGGCTACAGGTTCCACCCCTGGTTTGGGCACATACAAGAAACAACCAATGAATGCATGAATAAGTGGAACAACAAATCGTCGTCCCCTCCCAAATTAAAAAAGAAAAAAATCGACCACCCAAAGATTTTTCAACCTTGATTATCTGCATACAAAGAATCACGGGAGGTGGGAAGAGGAAGGGAGTAGAGGGAAACATGAAATTGTATTTACAGTGTGTATTGAATACCTCCTAGGTCCTGGCATGGGAAATACCAAGATGAGTAAAGACCTTGACTTTATTTTTTTTACCCTCACCCGAGGACATTTTTCCATTTTTTATTCAGATAGAGTGGGAGGGAGAGAGTGGAAGGGAGAGAGAGAGAGAGAGAGAGAAACATCGATGTGAAAGGGACACATCAAGTGGCTGCCATCCTCACGACCAACCAGGGCCGGGGACAAACTGCAACTGAGGTACACGCCCTTAGTGGGAACCGAACCTGGGTTTCTCTGGACCACAGGCCGATGCTCTAACCGCTGAGCCAAACCGGCCAGGGCAAGACCTTGACTTTAAGATGTTTCAATGGAACACAGTGGAAAGAACATGGGATAAAGAGGTAGACATTGGTTCAAATTCTGGTCCCTCTCCCTGTTAGGTGTGGAAGAGTAATTTAACTCTCTGATCCTCTCTATTCCTATCTGCAAAAAAGAAAGGGGGGAGAGTGAGGGTTAAAATGACCTCTTTTAGGGTTGTAAGGAATAGATTTTATGAATGTAAAGTGCCAGTGTATCAGGAGCTGAATGAAGGGTAGCTGTACTTGCAGCGGAAGAGCCAAACAGTGGAGGAAAAAGTTGAAATAGGATGTGAGGTGCTGAACATGAGCCCCAGTAGGGATTAACAGGTCTTAACCTTCCACAGGGAGGGCTACTGGGGAAACTGTTAGTGGTATTAAAGCTTCAACCTGCAGCTTTGAAATTCTATACCTGCGGCAGGGGTGATGGGAGAAACCTCATGGGAGACCTTTCTTTTCTTTTTCTTCAAAGCAAATTGATTCTAAAATACTGCAGGTCCTTTTTGAAGTACAAAACCACTGTGCTCCTTGCAGTCAATTATTTTTTTTTAATTGAGAAGATTATAGATTTTTGAACTCACTTCAAGCTTGTAAAAGTCTCTTAGTTGCTTGAATAATAACATTCTTGATATGGTGCCAGACACCTGATATACACTAAATAATACTTATCATTAATAATAATAACAATATTACTGTTAATGCTCCTAAGAGGAGGCAAGTTAGTAAAGCAGTAACCCTAACTTAACTTTATCATCGCAACTACTACTTTTATTTTACTGTAGTTTTTTTGCTTTCAACACTGTAAAAAGCATATGTTGATTTTCTTTTTGGTACGTGCCCCTAGCGGGAACTGAACCTGGGACTCTCTGGTCCGCAGGCCTACACTCCAACCGCTGCGCCAAGTTGTCCAGGGCTTGATTTCTTTTCTTTTTTTGCTTATGTCTTATAACTTGCTGTGCTTTTATACTCTTAGACAAGACACCTATGTGAAATGTCATTAAAGACATTTGGGTTCATTGTACTTTCCTGTAATTGTGTTTGGTTCATACACTCTTAGAAGTGGAAGGGCCCTTAGGAGTCATAGGCCTTTCTACCCCCATATAGGAAAATCTCTGGGCCCTCACAGACCAGAGCATTTATAGACTTCTGCTAGAATAGGTTATTTGTTCTTTGAGACTGCTCGTCTGTTGTATCAAAAGCTTGAATTGTTGGAAAAATCCTTTCTCATACTGAGTTGAAATCAGCCCCATTTAACTTCTACCCTTTGGTCTTTGTTCTACCCTTTTAAGAAATATTGACTGGCCCTAGCCGGTTTGGCTCAGCGGTTAGAGCATTGGCCTGCGGTCCCGCTAAGGGCACGTACCTCGGTTGCAGTTTGTCCCCGGCCCTGGTTGGGGTTGTGTGGGTGGCAACCATTTGATGTGTCCCTTTCACGTCAATGTTTCTCTCTCTTTCCCTCCTACTCTATTGGAACAAAAAAATGGAAAAATGTCCTTGGGTGCGGATAAAAAAAAAAAATTAAAAAAAAAAAGAAATATTGACTGAATCTACATCCACATGGACACCCCTTCAAATACTTGAAGCTACTATGGACCTAGTTATATCTTCTTTTTCCTTTCCAAACCCACAAATCCTTTCTTGCTTCTTACCGAACAAAGTCCTATACTATTCTGATTGCCTTCCCTCGTGGAAGAGTTTCAGCTGGGAGGTCCCATGCAGAGTGTGGTACTCAGAATGGGACACTGTGTTGTTACCAGTGTGATCTGACCCAGATAGACAGTAGTAGGGCCACTTACTGGCTTTCTCTAAATCTGAATACTATGTTGTTACTCGTTTCTATGGATATGGCCCGAAGTTCCATCAGTCTTTGATCATTTAACTAAAAATGGCCTTTACAAACATATTTGATAGTATCTAAGATGTTTGGTAGGACTTCTTGGTATTTGAATTAAAGATTTGCTTTTATGTTAATTTAAGCTTGTCTTTTTCTTTTTAACTAATTTTAATATAGTATTACTTCATTAAGGTTTGTGAATTGCTGTTTAATTATATCTTAGACTGCTATTTGGATAATTTAATTGGCTATTTTTCCCCAATTAGCATACATAATTGAATCAATATCTTTTTAGATCCATATGTGAAACTTCTACTTGATGCCATGAAGCACTCAGGTTGGTAAGTAAATCTTTTTGAAGTGCTGCTCAATATTCTGTGTGCTAAAAACAAACCCCTCCAAACTGGAACCGCTTATATCACTTTAGGCCACGAAGCCTTTTCCATATGGTAGGTGGTAGTGATTAGCTGCATTCTCTCCAGACAAGCCTTATTCTTTTTGGACACCTGCTCTAACTCTACATCTCTGGCTCTACCATTCACCTTGGTTATTTAGTAAGCACAATACTTAAAATCTTTCTTATAAGTAATTACTAAACCTGGATTTTCCACTGTGCCAGCCTCAGCATTGTCCTTAATGGAGAAGAAATCTCAAGCTTGTTATGTAAGAACCGTCTAGGTGCTGTTTAACTCTGAGGGGATTAGAGGAAGTGACTTCTGAGGTCCACTTCTTACCCTTCTGGCCCAAGGGCAGGAACTCCATCATATTTACAGTATGATCTTAATTAGCTGACCAAATGCTTTATGGAATCATAAAGTTCATAGAATTTGAACTAGTAGATTTCAGAGACAATTTCCTTATTTTACAGATGAAAAAACTGAGTGCTGAGGTTTAAGTTGCTTTCTCAGTGTTTCTTATGTGTTAGTGGTGGAGGGGATTTGACTTGGGCCTCTTGGTCCAGGGCTGTTTCCTTATGCCACATGCACACTGCTTCTGGACATTGTCTCCATTCCTTCTTGCCTTTTAGTGCTGTTAACAGAGAAAGACACTTTTCTTGTGAAGATTGTAATGGAAATGTCAGTGGAGGTTTTGATGCTTCAATGTCTCAGGTAGGCATTTTTGCCAAGTTGTTTTCTTTCCTCCAGTTCTCCTGATGTTTGCTGAGGATCTTCCACATGCTGGGGACTGTTTGGTAGTTTTTGTGTGGGATTCAATAAATGAATTAGTCATGGTCCTTACTCTTAAGGAACTTACACCTTCACAGGGGAGGTAAAACAGGAACACAGACAATGACAAAATTTGAGGCAGGTTAAACGGTTCTAGGTTGGCATGGTTACCACAGTGGGACAGTGATATGATTGAATGAAAGTTGCCAACAGATTCAGCTGGAGGATGTAAAGCTCTTCAGGGCAAAGACAAACAGTTACCCAAATAGGGGAAGCATGAGCAAAGGTGGCATGTTGGGAAAGAACTAGGCCTCTTTGGGGAATGGCATGTTGTCTAGTTTATTAGAGGTCAGGAATGCGTGGGAAATAGGGGAAATAGGATTGGAAAGAAGGGTAAGACATATGGTGGGGAGCTTGGAATGCCAAGCTAAAGAGTTGTACCTTTACATGGTGCAAAGTCTTGTATACTTTTGAAAATTTTTGATTAGGGGAGTGAGATTTCTATCTCTAAAATATGGGTAATGATTGTACCTATCTTATAGAATAGCTATGAGAATTAAATGAGACATTTCTTTTAAAGTGCTTATAGAAAGCATAGTAGTATTCAGTACATGTTATTGTTAGTTTTAAGTCAATTAAGAGTTTTGAGAGAATCTTGGAGGTGGTAGATAGATTAGGTCATGTGATGAGGGTAGATGAAGGTGTTATAAGTAATTATTTCCATCTTGAATATAACCCACATCTAACTGTACTTAATTGTTTCCTGCTGGAGAATTTTATATGTATTTTGGTTATTTATAGCTGTTTCTCAGTAATCATGGAAAAAGCAGTATAGCATGGGGTGAGGGGTCTGGGTTTTAGAGTCAGATAGACTGAGTTCAAATCCTACTTCTCCTGCTCACTAGTTGTGGGGCTTGGGCAATTTATTTGCCTTATTCGTGGTTTCCTCACTTGTAAATTAGTAATCACAATTCCTATAGCTCTCAAAATGGGTCTTGCTAAGTTCATCCACTTCGGGTTAAGTAGAGTGGACAGTTTGAACCTTCATCTTAGCAGTTTTCAACACAGTGGGCATTCTTTTTAAATTAAAATTTATATTGTGAAGTATCTCATTCATACAGAAAGTAGATAACCTAATTGTACACTTTTGGTCTTAATAAAGAATGAATACCTGTGCAGCTGCTACCCAGACGTGATAAATAGAGCATTGCCAGGACTTCAGAAGCCTGTGTGCCCTTCTTGGATCATATTACCTCTCCTTCCTTTTTTTTTTTTTTTTTTTTTTTTTATCCTCACCCGAGGACATTTTTCCATTTTTTGTACAGATAGAGTGGGAGGGAGAGAGAGGAAGAGAGAGAGAGAGAGAGAAACATCGACGTGAAGGGACACATCGAGTGGCTGCCACCCACACGACCAACCAGGGCCGGGGACAAACTGCAACCGAAGTACGTGCCCTTAGCGGGAACCGAACCCGGGTCTCTCCGGACCGCAGGCCGACGCTCTAACCGCTGAGCCAAACCGGCCAGGGCTACCTCTCCTTCCTTATTCTGTCTCCCGTGATAATCATTCCCTGCTTTCTGAATTGCTTTACCATTTATATATACAGCCCAACAATGTGTTATTTAGTTGCATGGAATACTTTCAGTGAGAGGTAATACTTTGTAGTTTTATGAAGTCATACAGTATAAAATCTTCTGTAACATTTCTTTTCTTCAATATTGTGAGATTCTTCCATATTGTTGTATATACCTCTGATTTATTTAGTTTCACTGTTGGATAGTATTCCATTGTGTGTCTATACAATAGTTAACCCTATTTTGATTCTTTCCAACTTTGTTATTTTGAACAACGCTGCTGTGAATATTCTTTAACTTTTTTCTTGGTGTACATGTGCAAAAGATACTCCAAGGTATATGCTTAGGAGTGGAACTGCTGGGTCATATGGTATGCATACATTTGAATTTAGCAGGTAATGCCAAATACTTTTCTTCCCATGGTGCCCTGTGTACAGCACTCTTCTGATTGCTCTTTTGCTAGCTCACCTTTCTCTCTCTCTCTTTTTTTTTTTTTTAAATATATTTTATTTTAGAGAGAGAGAGAGAGAGAGAGAGAAAGAGAGAGAGAAACATCGACGTGGGAGAGAAACATCATTTAGCTGCCTCCTGCAGGTCCCCTACTGGGGATCAAGCCTGTAACCCAGGCATGTGCCCTGACTGGGAATTGAACCGGGACCTCTCAGTCCATGGATGACGTTCAATCCACTGAGCCACACCAGCCAGGCTAGCTCACCTTTCTCTATCAGCCCTTAATTGTTGAAGTCCCTTAATCGTTAGTGTTAGATCCCCTTCTTTTTTTATTCTATACTCTGCTAAGGGGATCTCATTTATTTTCATAGGTCAGAACTCTCTTTTGAACTCCATGTCTGTATATCCAAGTGCCCACTTAACGCTCACACTTGATTGTCTTAAATGCACCTCAGACCTGACCTGTCCAAGTCCAAATTGAAAATTTTTACCACTCCCTACCCCACCCAACCTGGCCTTTTAGTTTTGCATATTTCAGTGAGTGGTACTATCACCCACCTATTACACAAACCAGAAATTAGGGATCGTTCTTTTGGTGTATAGATTGACGTTCCGACCAACTGAGCCACATTGGCCAGGGCTAGGGATCATTCTTGATACCTCTGATTCCCTTCCCGTATTCTGTCCATCACCAAATTTTATCTAATTTACCTCCTAGATACCATTTTTTGCCCCCAGTGTCCTAGCTCAGTTACTACTACCTCTTGCCCAGAATATTTCATTAGCCTCAGCTAGTCTTTCTCCACCCAGTTTTGCTCATCTTTTGCTTATTTTTCCAATTATAGTCAAAGTATAAAAACAAAATAAAAGCACCTCCCATTTTACTACTCCTTCCATTGACTTCCCATTGGTCTCAGGATAAAGACAGGGTATTCAGTTATTTGGCCACTACTGCCCTCACCAGCCTTATCTGATGCCTGCCACCTCAAACTCTGTGCTGCGGCAATATAGGCCTGCTTTCAGCTTCTCAAACATTCTGTTCTTCAACCCTTCCCACACCCTTTGCAGCAGTTGTTCTCTCTGTCTGGTATGCTCCCTTCCCCTCTCCTCAAATTTAACTCCTGTTCATCCATTAGATCTCAGTTTATACATTCCTTCTGCAGGGAATCCATTCCCAAACCTCCAGGCCAGGCCAGGCATTCACACTGTAGGTACTCATGATAGCCTGGGTTTTTCTCCATGACAGCTGTCACTGCAGATATTTAAGCATTTTGATAAATACTGATTAATTTCTAACTATTATTAGATTTAAATTTACTAATGGGTCTCAATAACTGTTAGTTGAATAAATGGATGTTGAATGAATGTATATGAAATAATATCCATAAACAGGCCCAGGTAGCACATATCCCAGTGCCTGGCACACAGAAAGCACATACTATATGGTAATTATTATTAGGATCTCTCAGGTCTTTGTTATTCTTATAAGGTCCTGCTCAGTGTGCTGTGGGCTTTTAGCACATCTTTCTGAGAACTTTTCCTGGCAAATCTAGTAGAGGGGACAGTGGTGGTCATTCATTGTTGATTCATTGCTCATTCAGAAACTTGATCTGAAGCATTTTATATATATTCTCATTTAATTCTCACAGTTCTATGAGGTAAGTACTCTCATTATTTCCTTTTTGTAGTTGAGGAAACTGAAGCACAGTGAAGTTAAGAAACTTGCCCCAGATCACTGAATTAGTAAGGAATGGGGCTAGAATTTGAATCTGTTTGCTTCTTCCAAAGTTCACGCCTACATTCAGTGCTGTGGAGTCCAAGACACATGGATACAGTCAGCCCAATGAGGACAGTATGTGAATAAGTATCCTTAGTTAAGTGCTATTACAATCCAGAGAGAAGAGAAAGGAGAATTTAGTCGTTGGGAAGTCTTAATGGAGTGTGATGTTAAAACTGGGCCGAGACTGATAGGTAGGTGTGGGGTCATTGGGAAATGTGGGTGGAGGCCATATAAGCAGCTAAGCCCCTCATGTGAGACAGAGGTTAGAATTCATGAGAGTAGATTTTAGACATAACTGAATTTGTCTTATCTTGGTGCCTCCTAGATTGTTTTGTGCCAGAATAATATCCGTAATCAGGCCCATATGAACAGAGTGGTCACCCACGAGCTCATTCATGCATTTGATCATTGTCGTGCTCACGTCGACTGGTTCACCAATGTCAGACATTTGGCCTGCTCAGAGGTGAGTTTTATTGTAAATGATATCTTTTTTCCCCTGCGAATACTGTGCTGGAACAATTTATTCAAGTATAATTTATTTAAACATACTCCTTTTCTAACTGGCATAATAGTTACACGTTAGTCTTGAATTTCTAACTATTGAATACAATTTTTGAGAATCAACAAGAGACTTTTTAAAAAAATTTATTTTTGTTACAGATGTTTCTTCTTTTTTTTCCTTATTGACACCCTCCTCCCCATCCCCCCCACCCCATCCCCAGCTTTATTGTCCATGTCCATCGGTTATGTGTACATGCATATAAATTCTGTGGTTTATCTCTTCCCTCGCCCCCACTCCCTCTTCTGAGGGTTGCCAGTCTGTACCCTACTTCCACATCTCTGGGTCTACCCTGTTCCTCAGACTGTTATGTTCATTATATTCCACAAATAAGTGAGATCCTGTGATATTTGTCTTTCTCTGCTTGGCTTGTTTCGCTTAGGATAATACTCTCCAGGTCCTTCCATGTCATCTCAAAGGATAAGAGATCTTTCTATCTTGCAGCTGCATAGTACTCCATTGTGTATATGTACTACTGCTTTTTTATCCATTCGTCTGCTGATGGACACTTGGGCTGTTTCCAGATCTTAGCTATTGTAAATAGTGCTGCTATGAACATGGGGGTACATGTATTCTTTCTGATTGGTGTTTCAGGCTTCTTAGGGTATATTCCCAGAAGTGGGATCCCTGGGTCAAATGGAAGTTCAATTTTTAAATTTTTGAGATAACACCATAGTGTTTTCCACAGTGGCTGCACCAGTCTGCATTCCCACCAGCAGTGTACTAGAGTCCCCTTTTCTCCACACCCTCATCAACACTTGTTGTTTGATGATTTGTTGATGGCAGCCATTCTGGCAGGTGTGAAGTGATACCTCATAGTTGTTTTAATTTGCATTTCTTTGATGATTAGTGATGTTGAGGCATTTCTTCATATGTCTCTTAGTCATTTGTATATCCTGTTTGGAGAGGTATCTATTTAGGTCCTCTGCCCATTTTTTAATTGGGTTCTTTGTCTTCCTTTTGTTGAGTTGTATGAGTACTCTATATGTTTTGGAAATTAACCCCTTATCTGATGTATGGTTGGCAAATATGCTCTCCCATATAGTGGGTTCCCTTTCCATTTTGATGGTTTTCTTTTGCTGTGCAGAAGCTTTTTAGTTTGATGTAGTCCCATGTGTTCATTTTTTTTCTTTGTTTCTGTTGCCTTAGGTGATGTATCAGTGAAAATTCTGCTGTGTATGATGTTCGAAATTTTGTTGCCTACATTTTGTTCTAGGATTTTTATGGATTCATGAGTCACATTTAAGTCTTTTATCTATTTTGAATTTATTCTTGTGTATGGTGTAAGTTGATGGTCTAGTTTCATCAACAAGAGACATTTTAAATAATTTCTTTAGAATTGTATTAAATATAAACTTTTAATCCTAATAGTAGTAATGATCCACTTTAATTATAATAATAAAAAACTATTTTTATGGAATAAACTATGTAACATAAAAAGGTTAGTTAACATGCCAAACATTGTTCTGTTTGTGGATTCTTTTTTTTTTTTTTTGAAGTGAAAATATCCTCAAGGTTTTATTGTTACATAATTAAACAAAATATGAAGCTTAGAACTGCCCTGGCTGGTGTGGCTCAGTTGGTTGAGCAACGTCCCATGCACCGAGAGGTCTTGGGTTTGATTCCTGGTCAGGACACATGCCTGGATTGCAAGCTTGATCCCTAGTGAGGGGTATGCAGGAGGCAGCCAGTGGATGTTTTTCTCTCATCGATGTTTCTCTCTCTCCCTTTCCCTGTCTCTCAAATTAATAAAAACATATTAAAAAAAAAAAAAAAAGAACTAAATCATTTGGCCCTGTCTCTTCTTACCTTGTCCCAGTTCTAAATGTTTGCATCTCTTTTTTTTAAGTTCAAATCTATTTTTTTAAATAAGCCCTGGCCGGTTTGGCTCAGCGGTTAGAGCGTCGGCCTGCGGTCCTGAGAGACCCGGGTTCGGTTCCCGCTAAGGGCACGTACTTTGGTTGCAGTTTGTCCCCGGCCCTGGTTGGTTGTGCGGGTGGCAGCCACTCGATGTGTCCCTTCACGTCGATGTTTCTCTCTCTCTCTCCTTCCTCTCTCTCCCTTCCACTCTATCTGTACAAAAAAAAATGGAAAAAAAAAAAATAAAACATTTTAATGTTGACATTATTGCAGGTGTTCCTTCCCCCCCTTTGCCCACCCTCACCCACTCCACCACCCCCTCCCTTGGCCTTCACCAAACTGTTGTTCGTGTCCTGGGAGTATGCATATATGTTCTTTCTTTATTTTTCAAAATTATTTTTATTAATTTGTTTTTGTTACAGATGTTTCTCCTTTTTCCCCCATTGACACCCTCCTCCCCATCCTCCCCGCCCCTTTCCTGGCTTTGTTGTCTATGTCCATTGGTTATTCATACATGCATATAAGTTCTGTGGTGTATCTATTCCCCACATATATGTTCTTTAGCTAATCCCTTCACTGTCTTTATCCAGTCACCCCACCCCCTTGGCACCAGCTGCTCTGTTCCATGTGTCCATGCTTCTGGTTTTATTTTGTTCATTAGATTTCACATATTAGTGAGATCATATGGTATTTGTCTTTTCTCTGACTGGCTTATTTCACTTAGCAAATAATCTCCAGGTCCATCTATGACAGCAGTTCTCAACTTGTGGGTTGCAACTCCTTTGACATAACAGTAGCAAAATTAGAGTTATGAAGTAGCAACAAAAATAATTTTATGGTTGGGGGTCACCACAACATGATGAAATGTATTAAAGGGTCATGGCATTAGGAAGGTTGAGAACCACTGATCTATGCTGTTGCAAAGGGTAAGAGTTCCGTCTTTTTTACAACTACATAGTATTCCACTGTGTAAATGTACCATAGGTTTTTATCCTGTCATCTACTATGGGCACTTGGGCTATTTCCAGATCTTGACTATTGTAAATAAAGCTGCTATGCATCTTTTAGTAGTCAGCATTCTCTTAGATCTTCAGTAGGGCTCAGTGCATCCAAGCCTCAGCACAATCTTCTTTAAAAAAAAATTGATTTTATAGACAGTGGAAGAGGGGAGAGAGAGAGAGAGAGAAATACCCATTTGTTGTTCTACTAATTTAGGCATTCATTTGTTGATTCTTGTATGTGTCTTGACAGAGATCGAACCTGTCACCTTGGCATACTGGGATGATGCTCTAATCAACTGAGCTACTTGGCCAGGGCTTCAGCACAATCTTCTTTGTAGTTTTAGCTCTTTTGTGGAAAATCGGCTTAGTCTGCCCACCGTAGCCATTCTGCTTCCTGTCACAACGCTGCTGTCCCTGTGCATACAGAGAATCTTTGCCCTTCATGTGCTGTTACTTTGTGGGGTTAATGCTTGCCATACTTCTTACAGAAAGTCCAGTAGGTTTTTGGGACGTTCACCATGTTTGTGAGAGCGCCACTGGCACGGAAAGTGTTTAGATTCTTTTTTTTTTATCCTCACCCGAGGACATTTTTTCTTTTTTTGTTCAGATAAAGTGGGAAGGAAACAGAGGAGGAGAGAGAGAGAGAAACATTGATGTGAAAGGGACACATAGTGTGGTTGCCACCCGCACGACCCAACCAGAGCTGGGGACAAACTGCAACCGAGGTACGTGCCCTTAGCGGGAACCGAACCTGGGTCTCTCTGGACCACAGGCCAACACTCTAACCGCTGAGCCAAACCGGCCAAGGCTAGATTCTTATATAATCTTCACAACAACCTATGGAAGTGGATACTACTATCCTCATTTTAAATCTGTGGAAACTGAGGCATTTGTTTAGATTCCGTGGTTTAGTAAGTGGAAGAGGCAGAATTACAACCAGGGTTCTTTTATTTTATTTTATTTTTTTATCCTCACCCGAGGACATTTTTGCATTCATCTTCAGATAGAGCGGGAGAGAGAGGGGGAGGAAGAGAGAGAGAGAAACACCAATGTGAGAGAGATACATTGACTGGTTGCCACCCACACGACCCCAGTTAGGGCCAGGGACAAACTGTAACCGAGGTACGCGCCCTTAGCGGGAACCGAATCCGGGTCTCTGGTCCATGAGCAGACGCTCTAACCACTGAGCCAAGCTGGCCAGGGCCAACCAGGGTTCTTTAATTTTTTATTTTTTTTTGTTACAGATGTTTCTCCTTTTTTACCCCATTGGCACCTCTCTCCCCATCCTCCCCGCCCCACCCTCGTCTTTGCTGTCCATGTCCATTGGTTATGCATACATGCATATAAGTTCTGTGGTTTATCTCTTCCCACCGCCCCCAGCCCTTCTTCTGAGGGATGTCAGTCTGTGCCCTACTCCCATGTTTCTGAGTCTACCGTATTTCTCAGACGGTTCATTATATTCCATATATAAGTGAGATCATGTGGTATTTGTCTTTTTCTGCTTGGCTTATTTCACTTAGGATAATACTTTCCAGGTCCCTCCATGTCGTCTCAAAGGATAAGAGATCTTTCTTTCTTACAGCTGCATAGTACTCCATTGTGTATATGTACCACTGCTTTTTTATCCATTCGTCTACTGATGGACACTTGGGCTGTTTCCAGATCTTAGCTATTGTAAATAGTGCTGCTATGAACATGGGGGTACATATATTCTTCCTGATTGGTGTTTCAGGCTTCTTAGGGTATATTCCTAGCAGTGGGATCACTGGGTCAAATGGAAGTTCAATTTTTAATTTTTTGAGCAAACACCAGTCTGCATTCCCACCAGCAGTGTACTAGAGTCCCCTTTTCTCCACACCCTCACCAACACTTGTTTGATGATTTGTTGATGGTGGCCATTCTGACAGGTGTGAGTTGTTTTAATTTGCATCTTTCTGATGATTAGTGAAGTTGAACATTTCTTCATATGTCTCTTGGCCATTTGTATGTCCTGTTTGGAGAGGTGTCTATTCAGCTCCTCTGCCCATTTTTAATTGGGTTCTTTGTCTTTCTTTTGTTGAGTTGTATGAGTACGCTATATATTTTGGAAATTAACCCCTTATGTGATGTATTATTGCAAATGATGTTCTCCCATACAGTGGGTTGCCTTTCCATTTTGATGGTTGTTTCTTTTACTGTGCAGAAGCTTTTTAGTTTGATGTAGTCCAATGTGTTCATTTTTTCCTTTGTTTCTGTTGTCTTAGGTGATGTATCAGTGAAAATTCTGCTGCGTATGATGTCCAAAATTTTGATGCCTACATTTTCTTCTAGAATTTTTATGGATTCACGGGTCACATTTAAGTCTTTTATCCATTTTTAGTTTATTTTTGTGTATGGTGTAAATTGATGTTCTAGTTTCATTTTTTTGCATGTAGCTGTTCAGTTTTCCCAACACCGTTTATTAAAGAGGCTGTCTTTACTCCACTGTATGCTCTTGCCACCTTTGTCAAATATTAATTGAGCATATTGCCTTGGGTCCATTTCTGGGTTTTCAGTTCTGTTCCACTGGTCTATATGCCTGTTCTTGTGCTAGTACCAGGCTGTTTTGATTATAGTCGCTTTGTAGTATAACCTGATATCTGGTATTGTGATCCCACCTACTTTGTCCTTCTTTTTCAAAATTGCTGTGGCTATTCGGGAACTTTTTTGGTTCCATATGAACTTTTGAAGTATTTGTTCTGTGAAATATGTCGTTGGTATTTTGATGGGGATTGCATTGAATCTATAGATTGCTTTGGGTAGTATGGACATTTTAATGATGTTAATTCTTCCAATCCATGAACAAGGTTTGTGCTTTCACTTTTTTATATCTTCCTCTATTTCTTTTTTCAATGTCCTGTAGTTTTCTGCAAATAGGTCCTTCTTTCGTTAAGTTTATTCCTAGGTATCTTAATTTTTTTGCCACGATGGTAAATGGGATTGTTTTTTCAGATTCTCTTTCTGTGAGTTCATTATTGGTGTACAAGAATGCCGTCGATTTCTTGACATTAATTTTGTATCCTGCTACTTTGCCAAATTCATTTATTAAGTCTAGTAGATTTTTGATGGAATCCTTAGGGTTTTCTGTGTATAATATCATGTCATCTGCAAATAATGACAGTTTCGCTTCCTCCTTCCAATTTGGATCCCTTTTATTTTTTCTTCATGTCTGATTGCTGTGGCTAAGACTTCCAGTACTATGTTAAATAAGAGTGGTGAAAGTGGACATCCCTGTCTTGTTCCTATTCTTAAGGGAAATGTTTTTAGTTTCTGCCCATTGAGTATGATGTTGGCTGTAGGTCTTTCATATATGGCCTTTATTATGTCAAGATATGATCCCTCTATTCCCACATTGCTGAGCGTTTTTATCAGAAATGGATGCTGGATTTTGTCGAATGCTTTTTCAGTGTCTATTGATATGATCATGTGGTTTTTATTCTTCATTTTGTTTATGTGGTGTTTCACATTTATCGATGTGTAAATATTGTACCAGGCTTGCATCCCTGGAATGAATCCCACTTGGTCATGGTGAATAATTTTTTTGATATATTGCTCGATCCGATTTGCTAATATTTTTTTCAGGATTTTGGTGTCTATGTTCATCAGGGATATTGGCCTGTAGTTTTCTTTCTTTGTAGTGTCTTTTTCTGGTTTTGGAACTAGAATTATGCTGACCTCACAGAACGAGTTTGGAAGTCTTCCTTCTTCTTGAATTTTTTGAAATAGTTTGAGGAGAATGGGTGTTAGTTCTTTTTTGAATGTTTGGTAAAACTCCCCATGAAGCCATCTGGGCCTGGGCTTTTATTTGCTGGGAGAGTCTTGATTACATCTTCAATTTCTTCTGTTGTTATTGGTCTGTTCAAGTTTTCTATCTCTTCCCACCAACCGGGGTTCTTAACTGGTTTTCTGTGCTGCCTTGTATAGGTAAAGCTCCTTTCTTGCTCTAGAGTAAAAACATTGCCTCAGAAATACAACATAGAAAGATATTTATTGTTAAGCACTTTGGATTGCTCTCAGAAAGAAATATAAATATAAATATAAATATAATTATATAAATATAAATATAAATATGCTCCTAGAGAGACATAAGTGTTTCATACTTGCATTTCATTAATCCATGAGTACAATGTGCTAGGTTAAAAAAACTAATATTAATTTTAAGCTTTTACTTTATAACTCAGATTATTTTCTGTTTTCCTTGAAATTAATAAGCTAATCCTTCACTGCATCTAATTATAATTCTTATTATTTGGAGAGTAGAATAAATCCTGAGTTTTTTTTGTTTTTTTTTTATCCTCGCCCAAGGACATTTTTCCATTTTTTGTTCAGATAGAGCGGGAGGGAGAGAGAGGAAGAGAGAGAGAGAGAAACATCGATGTGAAAGGGACACATCGAGTGGCTGCCACCCGCACGACCAACCAGGGCCGGGGACAAACTGCAACCGAGGTACATGCCCTTAGCGGGAACCAAACCCAGGTCTCTCTGTATCGCAGGCCGACACTCCAACCACTGAGCCAAACCGGCCCGGGCCTGAGTTGTTTTTTTTTTTTTTTTAACTTTATTTTTATTGTTGACTCTATTACAGATGTCCCCATTTTCTCCCATTTTGCACACCTCCATCTGCTCTGCACCCTCCCCCTCCCCTGGCCATCACCACACTGTTGTCTGTGTCTATGGGTTATGCATATATGTTCTTTGGCTGATCCCTTCACCTTCTTTCATCTACTCTCTACCCCACCCCGCTTCCTCTGACAGCTGTCAGGCTGCTCCATGTATCCATGCCTTTGTTTCGGTTTTTTTTGTTCGTCACTTTATTTTGTTTATTAGTGAATCCTGAGTTTAAAAACTTTTTCTTTATTGATTTTAGAGAGAGAGAAAGGGAGAGAGTGAAACGTCGATGAGAGAGAACATCAGTTGGCTGCTTCCTGCATGCCCCCCACTGGGGATCGGGTCCATAACCAGGGCATGTGCCCTGACTGGGAATTAAACTGGCCACCTTTTGGTGCATGGGTTGACGCTCAACCACTGAGCCACACTGGCCGGGCAATCCTGACTTTTTAAATGGGTCTCTGTCTTGGGTGATAGGAGGATTAATGCCTGTTACCTACAATGTGTAAGTGCCTTGAGCTCAGAGGAATAAGACAGTGTTACTGTGAAGTAACATGAGGTAGGTCATTCTGTTTGCAGTGAATTAGCAAACATGTGGCCAGGTTAACTGTGGAATCTGTATGGGTAGTTCCAAGATTTTTTTCATTTTTTAAAGCTGCTTTTTACTTTTAAAATGTGGTAAATTAGAAAATATGTTCTAATTTCAGGTTGTCATGCATATCTCAGCCCAGTGCCTTAGGCATTGTCTAAGTTTATGGATAGCCACTCTCTTTCTTAACTAAAGAACTTCTGGAGTCAATGTGTTTAAAAAATTCTTTTTAAAAAGTCTCACAGTTACTCTGATCTCAGAAAAACATGTTACTTTTATGTTTATTTTTTTACAATTAAAGAAAAATTGGTTGATATAAAGGTATAGAGTGTGAACACTTATTTCTTTTGCCTTCTGTCTTTGTGATAGATTCGAGCTGCTAACCTCAGTGGAGACTGCTCACTTGTAAATGAAATATTCAGGTTACATTTTGGATTAAAACAACACCATCAGGTAAAAACTAACATGAAATCACTTACCTTCAAGAATGCTAAGAGTCGAAATAATGAATAAAGAAATGAGATGTACATTTAGTATTTGAAATTTGAAAGAACTACTTAAATGAGAAAATGCAAACTGTATACTGTTTAAGCCAAAAAGATGGAATTTAGTTTTGTTTTATCATTATGGGCAAACTATGTGACTGACTGAGGTTTATTTAAAAAGAATTTTTTTTTTCCTTTATTGATATTAGAGAGAGAGGAAGGGAAAGGGAGAGAGAGATAGAAACATCGATGAGAGAGAACATCGACTGGCTACCTCCTGCCTGCCCCCCACTGGGGATTGGGCCCATAACCTGGGCATGTGTCCTGACCAGGAATCGAACTGGCGACCTCCTGGTGCATGGGTTGATGCTCAGCCGCTGAGCCACACTGGCCAGACTGACTGAGGTTTTTAATAGTGAAAAGAAACTATTATGATCTCACTCTTGAGATACTTTTGAATGGGGGTCGATAAGGAATGGAAGTGAAATCACAGCCTGTCTTACTTTTATCCTGGTAGTCCTGGACTTATATTTTATTTTATTTATTTTTTTATCCTCACCTGAGGACATTTTTCAATTTTTTTGTTCAGGTAGAGTGGGAGGGAGAGAGAGGAACAGAGAGAGAGAGAGAGAAACATCGATGTGAAAGGAACACATTGAGTGGCTGCCACCCGCCCAACCGACCAGGGCCGGGGACAAACTGCAACCGAGGTATGCGCCCTTAGCGGGAACCGAACCCGGGTCTCTCCGGACCGCAGGCCGAAGCTCTAACCGCTGAACCAAACCGGCCAGGGCCTGGACTTATATTTTAAAACTACTACCATATTCTCTCACTTATTTGTGGAATATAATGAACAATGTGGGCTGATGAATGAAATAGACCTAGAGATATAGAAAGGAGTATAGTTCAGACTGACAAACCTTAGAGTAGGGTTGCGGGGGGGAATGATAAGATGAACCAAAGAACTTACATGCATGTACGCATAACCAATGGCCATAGACAACAGTGCTGGAGGGGTGGGGGGCAGGATGGGGAGGAGGGTGTCTGGGGGGAAAAAGGAGAAACATCTGTAACAAAAATAAATTAATAAAAACCAAAAACCAAAACAAAAAACAAGCAAACACACACAAATAAAACTAATATCATATTCTCAAGACAAAAAAGTAATACCTTTCAGAAGAGACTGCATTGCAGCACAGGTTATGGATATGTATTAGTGCACCTTTAAAGGATGTATGATGTCATAGCAAAGTTTTGGATTCGCACAGATTGATTATGATGAACTGAGTTGAGAGGGATTTTGCAAACAAAACTAAACAAAGCCAATATCAAAAACCAAAAAGAAAAATATAGGCAAGATCATCCTGTTAGAAAGCTTTGCTATCACATCATACATCTATCTGCCATAGATGGACATGGGGAGGAGTATAGAGCCAATGGACTGATAATGAATATGAGCAGTTCTGCCCATAGCAACCAAGGAGCTCTGTGTCCACACTTAGGAGAAAGGATGGTCAGAGATATTTTATGGGAAGAGCTTGTTGGGCCAATTTGTGAGGGTCATGGGCATCGGGATAGCAGTTTCAACTGGCTAGCAGATGCAAAAAGAATAGGCTTGGAACAACAACAGAAAGGCCCTTAGCTCTCTAGAGAAGAGTCACTAAACTCTGGGGTGAGGGTAGAAAGTTAGAGTGAACTACTAAGAGAAGTTGTGAACTTAAAAATGGGAGCTAGAAGAGAAGCCTGCTGCCTGGAGAGGGTGATGGCTTGGGTAAGGCTGTCATGCTTTCAGCCTGTGCTAAGCCAGCTTAGTGTTATGACACTAGCTGCTTTGTGCCACATGTCTACTGTGCCCTTGATTCTGCTCCTTGGCAAATTCAGCTTGGGCTGCACTTGAATGGCCTGTGTACCCTGGCTCCCAGTGGGAAGAGGATAATGTGGTTAAAGCATGTGACCCAGGGCCCAGAGTCTTTGAAAGAGAAGTCTCCCCCTGCCTTTTTTTTTTTTTTTTACCTTGGGTGGCAGCAGCAGAAAATGAATAGAGGTAGCAACAGGATAGTAAATATGTGGAAGTAGTGGGCGCCTGGTTTAGGGAGAAGAATGTTAGGGAATGTAGTGTAGGGAGAAGAATTTAGGGAATGTAGTCCAAGAAATATAAAGTACAGTAACTGATTGTAAAATTGCACACTTTTAACAGAAATTTATTATATCTAGAAAGAAGTGAATCTGAATTGTGGTCTATATTTGTGTCTCCCTGTGGCTCCAGGAGACAAATTTTACCACCATTTTTTTCCCCTGGAGGGGAGACATGTCCTCTTCCCAGCGATTGTAGTTGTGGCTCTATACTATTCTTCCTCTCCTTCTTATTCCTTTATGCCTGGGGTTTATTTTTAAAATTAGTGTTTGGCCCTGGCCAGTTTCGTTTAGCGGTTAGAGTGTTGGCCTGTGGTCCAGAGAGACCCGGGTTCGGTGCCCGCTAAGGGCATGTACCTCGGTTGCAGTTTGTCCCTGGCCCTGGTTGGTCGTGTGGGTGGCAACCACTCGATGTGTCCCTTTCACATCGATGTTTCTCTCTCTCTCTCTCTCTCTTCCTCTCACTCTATCTGAACAAAAAATAGAAAAATGTCCTTGGGTGAGGATAAAAAAAAAAAAAATAAATAAAATCAGTGTTTGGTGTAACTTAGGTTGAAAAGCACTGTTTTATATTGCAGAATTAGTGAGCATCTCCAGGTTGGTCATGCTGACTAGGCTGAAGTAAAATTGGGAACTCGTAGAGAAAATAATTGATTGACAGGATGCATAGCCATCAGAACCAGTGTTGGGTTATTTTTCAGGAAAAAGTTAAATGCCATTCTTTTAAGTATTAGTTTGGGCCTGTGGAGAAATAAATTGAGTAAAAGCTAAGAATTGGAATGGTAGGACCTTATGTTTCTTAAAATATTTAGAATACTAAGAAATTCTAGTCTATTACTCTGTAACATTAGGTAAATTATTTTCTTAGGGAGAGAACTTTAACACCCATGCAAAGAACACTCAGAAACAAACAAAATTTTTTTATTTTTTTCCCCCCTGGAAAATGAAGAAACCTTCAGACTGTGTGTGTATATTTGTGGTTTCCTATTGTCTACAGGAGATAGTGCTTGTCTTGAAGGAAAAGTTACCTAGCACTGGTCACCTGCAAAGGAAGAGAGTTATAGAAGTAAAATATATTTAAATTTTATTAAAAATTCAACCAGAACCTTATTTATTCACTTTTCTATGATTTTACAAATTGGGAGTTATTGTTTGGCAAACACTGCCTAGAACCTCAGAGAATGACATCTGCTGATACTATTGGAAAGGATGAGAAAATTGGAGGAGGTTTTATTTATACCTAAATAATTGTAAGTTGAGCCAATTTCTTCTTTGGAATGACACAATAAAATAATAGGAAAGTGTATTTTTATTATGGTTCAGATATTATGTAAAATGTTATTTCATGATTACATTTTCATATAAAATTAAAGCCACTTATTTTTCCTTCTCTTTAGACTTGTGTGAGAGACAGAGCCATTCTCTCTATCCTGGCTGTTAGGAATATCAGCAAAGAAGTAGCTGAAAAGGCTGTTGATGAAGTTTTTGAATCTTGTTTCAATGACCATGAACCTTTTGGAAGGATCCCACATAACAAGACTTATGCAAAATATGCTCATAGAGACTTTCAAAACCGTGATCGGTATTACTCAAATATATGAAGACAATGACATTTTATATTACAGAGCTTCAGTGATCATGGAGAAAATATGGTTCTCAAGTGCACAAATGCATAAAACATAAATGATCAATTAAATACAGATAAGACAGAAGATGCTGATTCTGGCATATTATCAGAAAAAGTAACTGGTGAAAAATGAAACTGCCTTAAACTTCAAGGCAAAAATTATATCTTTATCGTTAACCATTTGGTAAATAAGGCAAATAAATTACATTTTTGTATTTTCTACATTATACTTGTGACTTTTATTGTTGTGATTTTATTTTTTATTACATGTGGTTATTTTAACACAATGAAGTGGTGTCCTTATATAATATTGGTAAGAGACCACTGTTGGTATTCACATTAAGTGTAAAGATAAATGTACTGATCTCATTATAGGACATTTACTGAGATGTTGTTATAACTAAAACATACAAGGAATGAAAGTTGAAAAGAACTGATTCAATGATCAATGCCGTCCCTCTCCCTGCTCTTCTTTCAAAATATATGTAGAGACTATATGGCTTAGTTTTCTGGGGACAGTTTTGATTAGATTTTTTCTTTCTTTAAAATTTTTTTTTTTTTTTACTTTTAGTAAAGGCCAGTGCATTAAATTTATAATGCAATTTAATTTATATATATATTTTAATCCTTATCTGAGGATATGTTTTTTATTGATTTTTAGAGAGAGAGGGAGAGAGAGAGAGACAGAGAGAAACATTGATTGGTAGCCTCCCGTATGCAGCCTGACTGGGGATCAAACCCATAACCTTTTTGGTGGATCGGATAATGCTCCAACCAACTGAGCCACCTGGCAGGGCTAATTTTTATATATTTATTAATTTTTTCCCATAATATTTTCAAATCTTTTGTCAAGCCCTGATCTGAGTTTCAAATTCAGAAAACATGGTCATTTTATTTATCCCCTTTAACTGCATCTCCTAGTGGTCCCAGCAAACATCTCTTGGCCTACATCCACACTGAAAGACAGTAATGCCTGTGTGCAGAGGCTAATTAAAGGTGATAATGAAGTTAGCAGGGTTCTTTCTTCGGAGTTAAAATTTGATTAAATATAAATTATAAAGTGATAACTCAAGCTTAATAACTTATTAAACATTAAAACATTGGTTGAGGATTCTAGGAAGTTGGAGGAATAGGGAACAACAGAAATCTGTCTCCCCACCTAGACAAAATTGCACTGGCAGAATCTGTTTACTGTAAATATTTTGGACTTCTGGAGTCTATCGAAGGCTTGCGACTCCCAGGAGGAGGCTTGGGTTGTAAATTGAAGCTAATTTTGGTCAATTTCAGCTCTTAGCATAGTAGTGGCTACCCATCTCCCACTGAGGTGCCCTGTGGCAGACATCTGCATGTTTTCCTGGAATAGCTTGTACAGACTGTGGGGGGCAAGGGTTGGCAAAAATCACCCCATCCCCCATATATTTGGGATTTGCTCTGATTGCTCATTGCTGCTGCTTTTCATAGAGATTCAGACAGAAAGATGGTGGCATTCTTGCACCTCCTCCCATTTTTATAAACTGTTGCTCATCTGGCTGAAATGACCTACATGGTATTTAAAGGGCTGATGTCTTTTTTTCTGATTAATTTTTCTTTTTTTCCCCTTTTGTGAGCCAGACATAGTAGGCTAGGACATTAAAAAATAACAAAACATATACAGGGAGAATTAAAAAGTCACTGCATGCTCAGGGAGAGGTGTAGGCTCAGAAAAGACCCAAGAAGACCTTCAGGCAGATCTTTGGTTCACAAACAGCCTGTATAACAACAAAACTCCCCTCCAAAACCAAAAAACAACAAACCCTCTCACACTCAAAACAATAGCAAATGCTGGGGAAGGGGGTAGAATGTGATTTTCAGAGTTACCTCATTATTAGATTCAAATGTCCAGTTTTTTTTTTTTTATCCTCACCCGAGGATATTTTTCCATTTTTTGTACAGATAGAGTGGGAGGGAGAGAGAGAAAGGGAGAGAGAGAGAGAAAAACATCGACGTGAAGAGACACATCGAGTGGCTGCCACCCGCACGACCAACCAGGGCCGGGGACAAACTTGCAACCGAAGTACGCGCCCTTAGCGGGAACCGAACACGGGTCTCTCCGGACCGCAGGCTGACGCGCTAACCGCTGAGCCAAACTGGCCAGGGTGAAATGTCCAGTTTTTATAAACAAAAAGTCACAAGGCATACAAAGGATACACAAGGCAAACAGGAATGTATGGCCCATTCAAAAGACTAAGACAAACCATTAGTCTCTTTGGAAAAGATCTGGTGGTGGGTCTATTAGACAAATAATTTAAAAACAATTGTCTTAAAGATGCTGAAAGAACTAAAGTAAGGTGTGGAGAAAGCCAAGAAAGGATGTATGAACAAAATGGGAATATCAACAAAGAGACGACTTAAAAGAAAACCAAAAAGAAATTCTGGAGCTGGAAAGTACAATAACTGAAATGAAAAATCTACTCAGGGATTCAGAGGCAGATGTACACAGGCAGAAGAAATAATTAGTGAACTTGAAGATAAAATGAAAATTACTGAGTCTGGGGAATAGAAAGAAAAAAGATTAAAGAAAATGGAACAGCCCAAGGGACCTGTGGGATACCATCAAATTGACCAACATTTGTATTATGAGAGTCCCAGGAGAAGAGAGAAAGGGGCAGAGAGAATATTTGAAGAAATAATGGTTTGTAATGTCACATTGTATTTTCTACATATTTTAAGAGACTAATATATTTAAAAGAATTATTAGTTTATGTTTTGGGCCACACAATGTATAAATACATAGTTTTGGGAAATAAATAACTGAAAGGGGTAGGGATGGAGTTTTATAGAAGGAGAATTTTTTATTAAATTCTTTTTTTTCTTTACTGGTTTTAGAGAGGAAGGGAGAAGGAGAGAGAGAGAGAGATAAACAGTGATGAGAGAGAACATCGATTGGCCGCCTCCTGCATGCCCCCCACTGGGGATCTGGCCCACAACCTGGGCATGTGCTGTGACCGGAAATCAAACTGGTGACCTCTTGGTGCATGGGTCAATGCTCAATCACTGAGCCACACCGGCCTGGCCCAGAATATATATATTTTTTATCCTCACCTGAGGACATTTTTGCATTTATCTTCAGATAGAGCGGGAGGGAGAGAGCAAGGAAGAGAGAGAGAGAGAGAAACAGCGATGTGAAAGAGACACATTGAGTGGCTGCCACCCACATGACCCTAACCGGAGCCGTGGACAAACTACAGCCGAGGTACGTGCCCTTAGTGGGAACTGAACCCAGGACTCTCTGGTCCGTAGGCTGATGCTCTAATCGCTGAGCCAAAACGGCCAGGGCCAGAATATTTTTCAAAGAATATTTTATTTTATTTTATTATTATTATTATTTTTTGTTAATCCTTATCTGAGGCTATTTTTCCATTGATTATTTAGATAGAGTGGAAGGAAGGGAGGAAGAGAGAAAGAGAGAGAGAGAAAAACATTGATGTGAGAGAGACACATGAATTGGTTGCCTCCCACATGACTCCAACCAGGGACAGGGGATTGAACCTGCAATCCAGGTACATGCCCTTGACTGGCAATCAAACCTGAGACCTTTTGGTCTCTGGGCCGATGCTAACTGCTGAGCCAAACCTGCTAGGGCTAATTATTTTACATGTAAATGAATTAAACTCTCCAATTAAAAGACAGATTGGCAGAATGGGAAAAAAATCCAACTATAGGATGTCTACAGAACACTCACTTAAGATGAAAATACAAAAAGATTAAAGGTGAAAGGATGCCCTGGCCCATTTGTCTTAGTTTGTTGAGCATCGTCCCATGCACCAAGGAAGGGGTTGTTGGCACTATTCCCGGTCAGGGTGCTCAACCAGTCAATGTTTTTCTCTCACACTGATGTTTCTCTCTCTCTCTCTTAAATTAATAAAAACATAAAAAAAAAAAGTTTAAAGGATGCAAATAAGTAACCAGAAGAGAGCAGGGGTAACTATACTAACATTAGACAAAATAGACTTTAAATAAAAAAAGATTATAAGAGACAAAGAACATTATACATTAATAAAAATTCAACAGAGCAAGAAGATAATTATAAATGTTTATACACTAACAGATCATCAGAACACATGAAGCAAAAATGGACAAAATTGAAGGGAGAAATAGAAGTTTTACAATAATAGTTGGAGGCTTCACTACTCCACTCTTAATAATAGATAGAACAACCAGACAGAAGATAACTAAGGACATAGAGGACTCGAATAACATAAGGAACCAATGAGATCTAACAGACGTGCAGAATGCTAGACAACAACAAAAGCGTACACATTCTTCTCTAGTACACATGGGAAAATTTCCAAGGTAGACCATTTATTAGTCCAAAAATTAAGTCTCAATATATTTAAGAATATAGATATCACAAAGGAATAAAATCAATAATAGAAGGAAAAACACATGGGACTACATTAAACTCAAAAGCTTTTGCACAGCAAAAGAAGCAACCACCAAAATGGAAAGGCAACCCACTCTATGGGAGAGCATAATTGCCAATGATACATCAAATAAGGGGTTAATTTCCAAAATATATAGAGTGCTCCTACAACTCAACAAAAGGAAGACAAAGAACCCAGTTAAAAAATGGGCAGAGGAGCTGAATAGACACCTCTCCAAACAGGACATACAAATGGCCAAGAGACATTTGAAGAAATGCTCAACGTCACTAATCATCAGAGAGTTATAAATTAAAACAACAATGAGGTAGCACCTCACACCTGTCAGAATGGCTGCCATCAACAAATAATCAAACAACAAGTGTTGGTGAGGGTGTGGAGAAAAGGGGACTCTAGTACATTGCTGGTGCAGCCACTATGGAAAACACTATGGTGTTACCTCAAAAAATTAAAAATTGAATTGCCATTTGACCCAGTGATCCCACTTCTAGAAATATACCCGAAGAAGCCTGAAACACCAATCAGAAAGAATACATGTACCCCCATGTTCATAGCAGCACTATTTACAATAGCTAAGATTTGGAAACAGCCCAAGTGTCCATCAGTAGACGAATGGATAAAAAAGCAGTGGTACAGCCCTGGCCGGTTTGGTTCAGCGGTTAGAGCGTCGGCCTGCGGTCCTGAGACCCGGGTTCGGTTCCCGCTAAGGGCACGTGCCTTGGTTGCAGTTTGTCCCTGGCCCTGGTCGGTTGTGCGGGTGGCAGCCACTCGATGTGTTCCTTTCACATCGATGTTTCT